TCAAACTGATGCTAAAGTAGAACTTCACATGATGCTCCACATTCCTCATTTTAGGGAAGAATTAAAAACAACTCTATTCTCCTAATTTTATGACCATTCTCGTTGTGACATTTCTCGTAATTTTACCACTTTATTCTCATAAATTTTACGACTTAATTCTCGTAATTTTATTACTTTATTCTCGAAATAGAAAAAAAAAATCTCTAGCCTGGCCCTAATACGCTATCCTACGGGAAAAAAGGTTCTTGATGCGCTAAAAACAAAATAAAACCAATTTTATTCTTTTTTTGTTGCAAACAGGATTTTGTGCATAGAAATTACACTGCAAAAAAATCTAAATCTAGTAATTTTTTCTTAAAATAAGTGCATTTGTTCTTGAATTGAGGAGGTAAAAGAGACATTTTGCCAATGGAACAAGACAGTTTACACTTAAAATAAGAAAACACAATTGCATTGTTAAATGCATATTATCTATTTATCTTATTTTAAGAGTAAAATTACTCATTCCATTGGCAAACTATCTCATCTACCTACTCAAATTAAGGGTGAATACACTTAATTTAAGACATTTTTACTTATTTCTAGATTGTTTTTGCAGTGTGGAAAAAAATCCATCCCCCCTGCTTGTGTCTATCTCCAGCTGTCTGCGGGTGAGAGGTAGGGTCCGCCCTGGACAGGTCTCCAGTCCATCGCAGGGCAACAGAGAGACAAACAACCATTCACACACTGACAGTGACACCTAAGGAGGATCTAGAGAAGCCAATTAACCGAACAGTCGTGTTTTTGGACTGTGGGAGGAAGCCGGAGTACCCAGAGAGAACCCACGCATGCTCAGGGAGACTCCATGCAGAAAGACCCCGGGCCGGGAATCGAACCCAGAACCTTCTTGCGGCAAAGCAGAAGTTCTACCTACTGCCACTGAGCAGCCCAGAAAGAAATGCAATTCAGAAAAAAGTCTTCATCAAAAATAGTTTCTTTTAGAGTGACTTTGATATTTTCTTTGATTTTTAAAATTTGTTTTATTTTTATTTATTTTATTTAATTTTTCCATTTTTTCCCCAAACTTTATTGTTGAATTTTTATATATTATAAATGGATCTTTTTTTAATTTTACTATATTTCTCTTGTTCAGATTGTGTTTTACAAATGTCATTCTTTTTAAATTACATTTTGCATTCTCTTCACTTCAATCCCAACAAAACGCTCACATTTGATCAGACAATAACGACGCCGCTAACGCCCAGCGGACCAATAGAAATGCTCCTTCACTCCCCCCTGTCTGCCTCATCTCTGAGAAAATAGCAAAGTTACTTTAACATTTTTTTTTTATCAAGAAGTTTTTGTAACGTTTTAATTTGGGATTACTTTTTTATTTTCCTTTTGCAAAACATGTTCTCTGCTTGCATTACAATGCAATCAAAGGGGTTAGACTTAAAAAAATATATATATTTTCTCCAAGTTAACTTTGATCATATTTCAAACTTTATCAAGAGGCAGAAAAAGCTGTTTGACTCTTCTGCCTCAAGCTCATCTGTTCTCCATATAAATTAGCATTACTTTCCTTTAGATGTGTCAAAAGTATTCATGTGTACTACTTCAGTAGAAGTATAAATCCTACTATTTAAAAACACTTTTGTAGATGTTAGAGGATCAACTTAAGCTTTTTACTCCAGTAAAAATGTAAAAGTACCATTTTTAAAACTACTTCAAGTATAAAAGTATAACATTTCTGAGTTTCATAATTAATGGTGTCAAATTTAACTTTGCATCATCTTGAAAAAAACTTTATTTTGGTATGTGGTGAACAACAAGTTGGGGCAGCACCGAGTCCAACCACAAAGAAATCAATTGTCTGGATGAAATCAATTATTTAGATGTTTTATTTTTTTTTATATTATTTACCAACAGGCTATGGTCATAATCGCAGCCCTGATAGCTAATTAATCACTTCACTCACCTGACAAAGCTGATGTTAGAGTGGCTCAGGTTATCCTGAGCTATCTCTATAGTTCTGCTGCTATAGGCTTAGACTGCTGGAGGACATAGGGACCCATTTTTCATCATTCTGCTTAATTTTATCTCTATTCTCCCACTCTGCAGAATCTGTTAGTTCAATCTCTAACGT